AACAACCAAAAAAAAAAAAAAAAATTCACCATAGAGGGGCCAGCTGGTCATGTGAAGGTTCAGGTGGTTGGATCCCACAAGGTTATGAGGTTCAAGTCCCGGCCTGGTGGCTTGAAAAAATACACCAACTATGTATGTGTGCATGTCCAAAATCCTGAGAGGAGAAGGGATGGTGGCGTGGCCACCCCCCTTGGGCAGTGATCTCTCACTTTCCCTCTATCTCAGGTGAACATACGTACCCTATAGTGGGTATGTGTATGGGGAGGAAGGTGGCCGAGAACTTGCTGAGATTTTTTTTCCCTTCCTCCCAAGCCTACTTTCCTAACAAAGTTAGTGTTCACATGGGAACATTTTTTGTTTCTTTACCAACTGCCACCCATCTTTTGATACTGGGGTAAGAGCGATGTATTTCAAATGAGTCTGTTCCTTGAGACGAGCATTTACCTCTTCCTCTTTCCCCCCTTCTTTCTCCTTTCCTGTCATCTGTTTATGATTCTGCAACGTTATATAAACTTTTTTCGTATTTCCACCTTGATTAGGGTTCATTAAAGGCCAAACACCTGTTTGGCCTCCAATTCACCATCTTGAAAATAGTCTGAAAAATGATATTTAGGATTTTGTTCACACACGGCCAGATGAGTAAAATACCTATGGGCTATATAAACTGTCCTAGTCCCCTACTGCATCGCTTACAGAAATACCCACGACTGGGAGATTTATAAAGAAATGGGGGTTTATTGACTCACAATTTGGGTGGCTGGACAGTCCAAAGGCACGAGACTGCATCAGGCCAGCTACGATAAGACCACCAGAAGCAGAGGGGATGGCGGCTGTATGCAGAGAGAGCGACTGGGGCAGACATCTTCCTTTGAAAACTGGCTATCGTAAGAACTAACCTGAGTTAGAACTCAGTCTCTCAGGATATTGCTATAATCCATTCATGAGGCTGGCACTTCCATGATCCAATCACTGCCCACTGGGCTGTACCACCTCCCAATGAAACTGGGACCAAATTCCATAAACCTTTAGGGGGGCAAACCGTTATCAAAACCATAATACTGTGCTCTTCGGTGCCCTTCCTGTGCCACTGCCCTCCGACTTCCGGAGTAGCAGGCATGCTCTTAAACAGCAGAGCACTCCCTCAGTTTGAGTCTCTTACATAGAAAGGTAGGAGCTGCCCCTGGAAAGGAAGCCACGTTTGTGAATGGAAGCGTTCACGGTCCCGCTTCCTGTCCTCTGTGTTTCTTATAGATTCAAAGTTGTAACTTCCACATGCTATGAACTACTTTAACAGTTTCTATTTCTATTCCGTGTCCCTGCGGGGGGGACATTTGGCAGTGCACACCACATCAGAAAAAAACATCCTTGCCTTTGGCGGCATTCAGCTTTTATGACATATTTTTAGATCTGGAAGTGCATCCTCCTCTCCCTCTGCCCAGCATGTATATTTTTATTCTCTCCCTTCCAAACTTTGCCAAAGTCTGTTTCCTGGCAATTTGAGAAGTGAGAATTGCCTGCGTGGGGGGAAAAAGTGAAGACACATGTTGTGTTGTAATTCCTACAGGGAAACATTGCCCAATGATCGCACCGGGGGCTGCCTCGTGATGTTTCTGCCCGCGCTAACTGTTCCTATCCTGATCTCACGGAAGCCACTCAGGCCGCCTGAATTCGGACATCGCGATCTGCTTTACATCAACAGTGTACTGATTTCTAGGTACAAGACAAGCATGATGATCCTAATTTGGAGCGCAGGAAGGATGGCTTTGTGGATTGAGCTGTCGTTTTCAAATTCATGCAAATATCAAAAGCAGGCCGGCCATCCAGCCTTTGCTCTGATCTTTTAAGTATCTGTCCTTTTGATGGGTTGGAAACTTCCTCTTTCCAGTCAGCAGGATTTACTGACCACTGCTTTTAAGCCAGGCACAGTTCTAAGTACGGGAACTATGGTGGTAACACAGTTGAAGGTTCTGCCCCGGGTATTCTGAAACAGTGCTGAACTCTCACCAGGGCATTCTAGAAGTTGCACAAGGGCTGTGTTGGGCTGTCTGTGAGGCCCTGGTTAACTCTCTAACAGATTAACTCTGATCTGCTGTAGGGTCACCTCAACCAAGCACTGTCTGCGCTGACCCTGGAAACCCTTCAGGACAGAGGACGAGTTTTTCCCCTCGTTCCTTGGCTCAGATTTCTGATGATGGGGTGCATCATTATATCCTGACTCTAAAGAGAAAAAAGAAAAGGACAACTGAAGAATATTTCAAAAATTATTTTCACACATGATTATCATACAGTATTACAATGTATTATGTGCAAAATTCCATCTTAAAAAATCATTTACAAAAGGAAGTACAATACAGTATGTGCCGAGGGTCCTAGTGTAACAAAAGCCAAGGCGAAAACAGGTACCAGGTACGAAGCCCATCACGTTAGACGACAACGCATCTTACACAGTACAATCAACCCGTGTTTGTAATGACCCGTGTCACACTGATACAAGACCCTCATAGTTGGTGTACCCAAACTGGCTTTATGAAACATAAATCTTACTTCACCATACATTTGTATAATGCAGATGGGGTTTTTCAGGGTGCATTTCAACCTCTTTTCCAACATCCAGCATCTTATTTAACTCCACGAAAGCCACATGATATGTTACTTGGTTTCTGCCCTAAATCATTTGATGCTGTTAGTTTTGATGTATGTGGAAAAGGGAGGAAAAAGTGTTATCCTTGAATTTTTTTTCCCCCATTATAGGGTTTTTGAAATTGCTTCCAAAAGCAGATAACATATGGAGTAGGTTTTGCCAAATCTTATTGCATATTTACAGTATTTTAAGCATAGAGAGTTCCTTCCATCTTCTTTTCAGATATCAAAGAGCCTGAACCAGCAGACTATACTCCTCAGTCCTTTGTTAAAGTCCATTATTTCTCCCTCTAGCTCTCCCTACATTCATTTCTCTCCTTATCTTCAGCATCACTTGTTTAGAAAACAAAACGGCACAACACGATAGTCACGAACAAGAGAACAGTACATCCGATATCCAAAGGCATTCTGTGGCCAGTGTTAGGAATACTTTGCTTTATAAACCCAGCAGTCTCTCCCCACAAAGTTGCCAAGACATCCAGTTACAGAAGAGAGACTTTGAAAATGCAATACTCTCAAATCCAGCAAGAGACTTTTTTTTTTTGAATATTAAATGTTAAAATCACATGCATAATTATAGAATATTTTAAAGTTACAAAAATATTTTAAAAACCAATCCTGACAGTTTACCTGCAACTGCTATAAAAATTTCTATGAAACATATATAAAAACACAAAGGTTCTTTGCAAAAAAAAAAAAAAAGACGAAGGAAGGAAGGGAAAAAAGCCATCCACAGAACCGACCCACTGCACGGGACGGTCACGTCAAACACCTGCTGTGGAACTCAGGAGAAGAGCTTGTACCTTAAATGTTGATTCAGCAAATCCCCACAAAGTTGCCAAGACATCCAGTTACAGAAGAGAGACTTTGAAAATGCAATACTCTCAAACCCAGCAAGAGACTTTTTTTTTTGAATATTAAATGTTAAAATCACATGCATAATTATAGAATATTTTAAAGTTACAAAAATATTTTAAAAACCAATCCTGACAGTTTACCTGCAACTGCTATAAAAATTTCTATGAAACATATATAAAAACACAAAGGTTCTTTGCAAAAAAAAAAAAAAAGACGAAGGAAGGAAGGGAAAAAAGCCATCCACAGAACCGACCCACTGCACGGGACGGTCACGTCAAACACCTGCTGTGGAACTCAGGAGAAGAGCTTGTACCTTAAATGTTGATTCAGCAAATATACATACATGTCAGTTGACCTAGAATCTGGCTGGGAATAGGCAGCAAATAATCTCAGGACACTTGGCCCATCCAATGTAACCACCGCAGAAGGAGAGTCCTACTGTTCCACGAACCTCAGCTAACCCCCGAGGCTAAAGGAGCCCTTGTCCAAGTTGACCTGTGGATGGCTTTAGTCACTGAACTGAGGGGTTCCCGAGCAGGTGACTGCTTTTCAAGCTTAGGCACATGGAAGCCAGAAGGCTAGGCTCTAGCCCCCTTTGGATACACCGTTGGGAATCTCCTGGGTCTTCTATGAGGGAGTGAGGTCTTCTTCCCCATTGTGGAAAATGACACCGTAAGGATCATTCTTGATGCGCTTGTAGACAAAGTGGAAGATGTGGGGCTGGGGTCGGCTGTGCAGCTCGGCCTTGATTTTCTGAGGATAAGTGTCCTCTGCCAGCTGCTGCCACGTCTCATCAACGAAGAGAAAGAGGCTGTACTCCTCAGGGTCCCCCACCTTGAACTTCTCGGCACAGAGCTGGCACACGTCCTCGGTGGTGATGTAGGGTCTCACGAGGAGGGTCTTGCCTGTGCAGCCACTGTTGACTTCCTGGAATGCAACTCGGAGGTAATTCTGCAGGTGGAAGGAGAGAGGTCAGAGGCTAGGCCAGAAGCAGAAAACAGGGAGAGGAAGTGAACTTGGTGAGGGGCAATGCCAGGTCCAACCAGTGAGTCTCCTCGAGGGTCTGGCTCGCCGTGACATCTAATGGAAGACCATGAGGCCTTGAACTGCAAGGCACGAGGGGTATCTGAATCCAGACGGGGGGAAGCCAAATATATATGGACTGAGCTGCCTCTTTTTTATTTATATATTTTTTAAGAAACAGATTTTTGCTTTAGGAGAGACAGAGAGAGAGAGAAAGTGAAAAAAATCACTCCCCAGAGGGGATGACCATACCACAGTTCCTTCCCCTTCATTCTCCTCTTGGGATTTTAGGCATGCATGCACACATGCCCATTGTGAGTTTCAAGCTGCCAGGTCCAGGTCCAGGACTTGAACCACATTTGGCCATGTGGGAGTCCAGCACCTTAACCACTACTCCACCTGCTGGCCCCAAGCTGCCTCATTCTAATTCATTACATACAGAAGCAGCAAAAAGTCCACCCAGCCCTGGTTCTTACAGTTCAGTATCCCTCTTAACACTGGGTTAAGAAATCCCTGCTTAAGAGTGTGACCCACATCCAATGCTGGGTTTATTCTCAGCATGAAAAATAAGCCAAACGGCAAAAGAATCTGAACCAGTAGTCAGCAGGA